GTCGATCAGCTTCTTCCCCGGACACGTGCTGTCAGGAGCACTTCCTGTCAGGTGACCGTACGCTATCAGCTTCTACACACACACACACACACACACACACACACACACACACACCCTTTGTTATATCTGGGAATATGAGCTGGAGCATAATGAGACCTCTCCTACAGAGGAGCCAAACACACACACTTGAGAGTTGTTTACTCTCTTGTTGTTGTTGCTGTTGTCGGCTATCTGTGATCCTCTAACTCCCTGTAGTTGTTTTGAGTCTCTTGTAGGGCTGCAACTCAAGACCATTTCATATCATTGATTCGTCTTTGGTTATTTGTTCTTACTAAATTAGTTTTTGGGTGTGAAACAGTAGAACATGCCCACAACAGTAGAAGACCAAGGTATTGTCATTAAATGTCCAAAACTAAAGATACAACAAAATGGTACATTTGGGACTGAAAATATTACATTTGTGTTAATTTATTCTCAAAAGATGCATGCAAAGATCAATGTATTAGTAAAGCAGTTTCCAATTGAATACATTGGATTCTCATAGTGCTTTTCCTAGTGCATCGATGCCTGCTGAGCATTTATTATCACCACACTTTCTGCACATCCACCAAATTGCACATTCATCTCTAATGTATATATTTTATTCTATAAAAATGTATGAAAAGATCAATGTATTACTAAAGCAGCTGCCAATGTACTATCAGCTGACTCATCGCAGCTTTAGTCTCTTTGTGGTCCTTCAGTGTCTTTCTGTGGTTGTTATGCCCCTTCAAGAGTCCTTTGGAGTCGCTTTGAGAGTCCCTTTGGAATCGCTTCGAGAGTCCTTTGGAGTCGCTTTGAGAGTCCTTTTGGAGTCGCTTTGAGAGTCCCTTTGGAGTCGCTTTGAGAGTCCCTTTGGAATCGCTTCGAGAGTCCTTTTGGAGTCGCTTCGAGAGTCCTTTTGGAGTCGCTTCGAGAGTCCTTTTGGAGTCGCTTCGAGAGTCCTTTTGGAGTCGCTTCGAGAGTCCTTTTGGAGTCGCTTCGAGAGTCGCTTTGAGAGTCCTTTTGGAGTCGCTTTGAGAGTCCCTTTGGAGTCGCTTTGAGAGTCCCTTTGGAGTCGCTTTGAGAGTCCCTTTGGAGTCGTTTCGAGAGTCTCTTTGGAGTCGCTTAGAGAGTCCCTTTGGAGTCGCTTTGAGAGTCCCTTTGGAGTCGCTTTGAGAGTCCTTTTGGAGTCGCTTCGAGAGTCCCTTTGGAATCGCTTCGAGAGTCCTTTGGAGTCGCTTTGAGAGTCCTTTTGGAGTCGCTTTGAGAGTCCCTTTGGAGTCGCTTCGAGAGTCCCTTTGGAATCGCTTCGAGAGTCCTTTGGAGTCGCTTTGAGAGTCCCTTTGGAGTCGTTTCGAGAGTCTTTTTGGAGTCGCTTTGAGAGTCGCTTAGAGAGTCCCTTTGGAGTTGCTTTGAGAGTCCTTTTGGAGTCGCTTCGAGAGTCCTTTTGGAATCGCTTCGAGAGTCCTTTTGAAGTCGCTTAGAGAGTCCCTTTGGAGTCGCTTTGAGAGTCCCTTTGGAGTCGCTTCGAGAGTCCTTTGGAGTCGCTTGGAGAGTCCTTTGGTGTCGCTTAGAGACTCCCTTTGGAGTCGTTTCGAGAGTCTTTTTGGAGTCGCTTTGAGAGTCGCTTTGAGAGTACCTTTGGAGTCGCTTAGAGAGTCCCTTTGGAGTTGCTTTGAGAGTCCTTTTGGAGTCGCTTTGAGAGTCCTTTTGGAGTCGCTTCGAGAGTCCTTTTGGAATCGCTTCGAGAGTCCTTTTGAAGTCGCTTAGAGAGTATTTTTGGAGTCGCTTCGAGAGTTCTTTTGGAGTCGCTTCGAGTCTTTTCTGAATGTTTTTGAACTGCAAAATAGCTGCTGCATCGATGCCAGGTAGCATTTATTATCATGTCACTTTCTGCACCCAATTGCAAACACAGCTTTAGGGTGTGTTCACACCTGCCTTGTATAGTCCGGTTGAATCGAACCCTGGTGCGTTTAGCCGCTTGGTGCGGTTCATTTGGGTCGGTGTGAACACAGTCCGAGACCTCTTAAGTGAACTAAACAACTGGACTCTGGTCCGCTAAAATAGGTGGTCTTGGAGCGCTTGCTTGCGAACTCTGGAGCGGTTCATTGCTGGTGTGAACGCAGTCCGCACCAAAACATAGGAAGCGCAGTATTTAGGTGTCACAAGAACGCGGATATCTTCAAAAATCTTTAGCGAAAGAGTCTTTCAAGACATCCGCGGTTGTTTAGTTAAAGAGTGAAGCAGAATTAAGTGTTGAAAAGTAAAAGTAAGAACACCTGTCGTCGGTGAAACGCCCCTCCTTACTGCAGAACGTCTCTCATGAACAAGAACATGCCGATCTAGATCCCTCCGCTTCGCGTTGGGCTCCTGATCAGCCTGTCGGTTTTATTTTCCCCATAATGGCTGCGCCGCTGCACGTTATCCCGCTTATTACATGGCCACATTCTCAACAAAGTAACGACATAACTCCCAATATTAATTGAAATGCTTTTGTGGATTTAGAAAATGATTTTATTGATTTAAAAAATAGTTGTATGTATTTATTTAAATTGACATGTATCCGCTAAGAAAAATAGTCCGTTGTTACCGTTTGAACTAACGTAGCAACGGCAGGAACTGCTTCGATAGCGTTTTTGAGAAGCTTTTTGATTACAGATTTGAAAACATCGTTCCTTGCTTTAAAAGTAGCACAATTCATTATGTCAAACCTTGGAAAGTATCTAGATATCCCTGCCCTAATGCCAAAGTAACTGGCAACTGAATATGTGTCGCCGTCTGATGTCTATGTCTGGACCGCTGCGTAAAAAGGAGGATTTCTGCCCGTTACTTCTCCGTTGTTTTTTAACGGACGTTGTCTGATTATATAATCATATGCGCGGGCCGCTAGTGTCTGTTGATCTCCAGATTAACAGCAGCATGAGAATAACCTGCCGAAAGTGCCGATGCTCCATGGCGGAGGCTCCGCTACCGCTAGAAATTGCCGGGATTTGCGTTTTTACCCCCTTAATGTCTGACCAATGGTTGAAGTGCATTTCCGAGCACATGACTTGTGTTTAAAGTTTATAGTCCGTTTGAGTTTTGCCCGTGTGAACCTGGTGTGAACGCAAACCGAACCTTCTGAAAAATGAAACAATGTAACAAACTGTGGTCTGGTGCGCACCAGAGAGCGGACTATTAGGTGTGAATGCACCCTTAAATGTTGATGTTCCATAGATGTACGGTATACAAATGGTATTCCACAGAATAAAATATTAAATATATATTTATTTTACATTTAGTGTGAAATCCACAGGCTCTGCTTCTTCACAATAAAATATACAACAATTGAAACACCATTATTCCTTCAACAATGAGAAAAAATATGCAAAAAATATAAATTCCTCCAATATCGTCATTCATATTGCAATGGCAATATCAGTTAATGAGATGAATGAGATTGATCGGTGACAGTAGTTTGTTCTGTTAGTACCTTTTCTGCTGTGCGGTTCCACACTGTGACAACATGACCCATTTTCAGCAGGTTGGAAACGATCCCGCTCCCCATCAGCCCCAGCCCCAGGAACCCTATCCTGCAGGACAGACCAGAAGGAACAGACATGAAACATTCCTCATGTGGGTTAGCTATAAGTAAGATGAGTAAGAAAATCAAACATTTTTATCTTAAGGGATCTAGTTATATAATAGTAATTGTGTGATTTAGTTAATAGTGTTCCTAATGTGCAGGTACCTCTTATCTGTAGGTGTGATGCTGCCGTTGATCGCTGTGCTGTCTGCTGCTTGGATAGATGTTGACGCTGTGTCCTGCAATCACAAGACACGCTTGAAGAAACTTCATACTGAAAATACTATAGTATAACATCTAATGGTAGAAGTTCAATTGAAAAATAACGTCAATCCTTAAAAAGTTGGAACTTTTCCACTGGTAGTTACTAGGGATGCACCGATACATCGGACAGACATCGGCATTGGACGATGTTCGCCCTACTTACTGGCATGGGCAAATGAGGTGACATTCATCAATGGTAGTCACCGATGCTTTTTTGTTGCGTTCCATCATAACATCTGCAGCACCCGTAGTTCGTTTATATAAAAAAAACATTAACTAAAGAAAACCAAAAAACAACATGTCGGCAGTGTGGGACTATTTCACTGTTTCACCAAGAGATCGGCTATTTGCAGTTTGCAAAAAGTGTTCCGTTGACACGGCCCGGGTATAATAAACAGGGCGCTCTCTTTTCCTCTCTCCCTCTCCTGACACCCCGTCAGTATCCGTCTCATGCAGCTGGCTGATCCAGTAATGAGTGATCCGACAGTAAAGAATAAATATTTTCACAACTAGTGTAGGTAGATTCAGAGGTATATAACATAGCTAAGTGTGATAGGTCTAACTCTAAAGGTGTGTTTTGCTCCGCTCACCGGTCCCTCACAGCGGGCGGAGCTGCAGGTGATCCGCTGCGTACTTTCTAAGAAGGTTACTATGATGTTATAATAACAAACTTGCTCAGCCTTTGAAACTGAAACCATTTAGCAAGAATTTTTTTTGTTTTTCCTGGCAGAAAGTGGAATAACAACAGTGGAAGAAAATTACATTAAAACATCGGCATCGGCCAAATTGTTGTTCTTAACATCGGCCAAGAAATGTAGCACCGGTGCATCCCTAGTAGTAACTTCACCTCTTCAAAGATCTTCAGGCGCTTGCTGATGGGCTCCATGGACGAGGCTGGCTGTGGGCAGTGAGGACCAGAGGAGGTCAGAACAATCATCCAAACTGTACACATGCCTTACCAATATGGCTTTTACTGTGTCTTAATTCAAACAAACTATGCGATAAGAAAATTATCCAATAAGTATTCATATAAATACAGAATATATATAGACTACAAAATAACACATACTAACAAACAGCATTTAATGCAGAAGAGTCTCAACCCCTGTGGGGGAGGCATGATGAATTAAGCAAAAGCAAAATTACGACTTCTCGTACTGGCAGCCATGCAAATTGGCGACAGTTTACACCACAATAGAATAAAGGGGTTGATTTGATTTGTGTCGGGTCATTCTTCACATCTAAATGATGGATTCAAAAGCATTCTCCATTTTGGTGAGTTTCCTCTCCGCGAATAAAGTGGTGCAGTGACGAGTCCTACAACCCAGTGTTGTAGTCAAGTCACCAATTCACGAGTCCAATTCACTCTCGAGTCACCACACTTCGAGTCGGAGTCCAAGTCTGAGTCACTCAAGGAGTGTCCGAGTCGAGTCCGAGTCATCATTACCTGTGTTCGAGTCCAAGTCTGAGTCACCCAAGAAGAGTCCAAGTCCGAGTCACAAGTCTTTATGTATTAACCTTCGTGGATATGTGTTGAAAGTTAGCTGCTCCTCTACATTGCTTTTATCCTGTCATGTTATACTAATCTGTCTATTGAACTGCTGTGAAGCGAGTTTGGCTACAATTATTATAATAGGGGCTATACAAATATAAAGCTTATTACTAATATTAATATTATTATTGTAAATGACCTTTAATATGTCTAACTATATTTAAAATGATAATATTAGTAATAAGCTTTATATTTGTATAGCCCCTATTATAATAATTGNATATATTTTATATTTTTTTTATTTTTTTGGTAATCATTATTTGTAATACTTTCTGCTGACACTAGGTGGGGCTGTGCCCCTAATGACCTGTCGCCACTGCTTGTCTTGAGTAAAAGTAATAGTACCAGAGTGTAGGAATACTCTGTTACAGTAAAAGTCCTGCATTCAAAATGTTCCTCAAAATATAGTTAAAGTAGCGACAGTAAAAGTAGTGATTGTGCAGATTGGTCCATTTCAGAATAATATATGATATGTTCTATAATGATTGATCATGAAAGTGTTCTCAAAGCTGGTAAAGGTGCAGCTAGTTTGAATGACTTTGTATACTGCAGGGTAGCTTGTGAATTTACTCCAGGTGGAACTAAAGTCTGATTCAACACTTGGTTATCATCATTCATCCACATCTGTAAAGTAACTAAAGGTATTAAATACATGTAGTGGAGGAAAAGTACACCATGTACCCCTGAACTGTAGTGGAGAAGAAGAACAAAGTAGCAAAACATTGAAATACTTAAATAAAGTACAAGTATCTCAAAATTGTACCCAAGTATAGTACTTGTTAGTATAGAACTTAGTTACTTTACACCAGTGGCTATAAAGATAGAAAGACTAAAGCCTTGCACAGAGGCATGGAAATACATTTTCAAAATGCTCAACAGTGTTGCTAAAATTATAAACTGACTGCTACACAATTTAAATAAATGCTTTTATATATTTCTATTAGATCTGACTCTTTGGCGTTTCTGTTATTATTAACTGATTTAGTTGTTCTGACTGCTAAAATCCTCTGTTATTCCTCATTTTAAAGCCGATATTCCGTGGGGTCGGGGGGCTCGGATCCTTGTCACCTTTTTCATACCTGAGTTTGCATCCCTGCTTATTTTTAAGTTTTTTTGACTTCAGGATTCCTGCATATACCCTGCTATTAGACCATTTCTAACAAAAACAAATGTGTATATGTTTGAATTCGGGCCAATAAAACCTTTTCTTTCTATATCATCCAGATATTTTACAGGGCAACTTTAAGCCGGACTACTATTTGAAACACATTCAGAAGGACCTGAGGTTAGCCATCTCCATGGGTGACACGGCCAACCATCCCACCCCCATGGCCGCTGCAGCCAATGAGGTAACACTCCCCGCTCAAACATTTGCTCAATGTGAGGACTTCTGTCTTAAGATATTGGCCCAGTTGTTTTGACAAGATAAGACTTTGCTTGAATAACAAATGCAATGAGAGTGAGCCTGTGTTCCCTGCTGTTCCCCTGCAGGTCTACAAGAGGGCCAAGGCACTGGACCAGTCAGACAACGATATCTCTGCTGTGTACAGAGCCTACATCCACTGAGCCGGTTGGGATCCGGCCCAGCGTCTTCAATCCTTCTTTCTCCCTTGTCGAGTAATGCATTTCTTATTTCATTTTAAATTCTAGTTATTTTACTTCATTTTGCCACAGCAGCCGCCATGTTGGTGCCCACAATTGAGGGGATTGTTATTCCTTAGTTGGGGGGCCTTGAACATTGCACTGACTGTACTGGGGTATAATTGCTGTGAGAGCTTGTACTACTGCAGTTGCTTTGTCTAGTTTCTGACAGCTGAAATAGAAGTCATGCGGGGCGGGGGGGGTTTCCTGGATGGATCGCCCTAAAGAAGATTATTTTTTCGTTCATGTGAAAATGAGTATATTTAAATGAGTGTGATATTTGCTTTTTGCTTTAAAATGTCCTGAATTCCACGAGAGAAAACACCAAGAACATGCCACTGCGTTGCCTTAATATTGTGTAACCCCTCAAGTCTTTCAACATTAGTATTTATTTCTGTTTCTTTCTAGGTCTGCTTGGTGCAGATTGGCCATTGCTTATTTCTATATTTGAAGAGATGATTTATGCATTTATTTCTTACATTGCCCGCAACAGGATACAGGTTAATGAAGGGGAGGGGGGGGCAGATGCTCACATGACAAGGATGGTCTTGACTGTGTAGTGGAGGTCTTCACAAGTTCACACTCAAAAACAGTGTGTCCTTTACATAGTTTTTTTTACACTGTAAATGTTCCTGCTCCATACATATATTAAATACTCCTTCAAAAATTCATTTTCTGATAACTCAAATTCCTTGTGGTTTTCTGCTTCCAACATTCTTTATCTAGGGATCTACTTGTGTCTAGTTTATGTTGAGTATAATTATGTTAGACGGGTCAAGTTTTGTTACTGTGGTTCTCAGTTATCTGCGTCAATATATAATACCCTTATCCATTTGGATTTATAATCATCTGTAACGTGTCCTGTCCAATGAAGTTCCATTTAGCATTTTATCAACAATATTCGACCTGTGAAGACCTACATCACACCCAAACTAATGCAGATGTTAATGTCCTACATCACACCCAAACTAATGCAGATGTTAATGTCCTACATCACACCCAAACTAATGCAGATGTTAATGTCCTACATCACACCCAAACTAATGAAGATGTTAATGTCCTACATCACACCCAAACTAATGCAGATGTCAATGTCCAGCATACTGTGGGGCAAAAAAGTATTTAGTCAGCCACCAATTGTGCAAGTTCTCCCACTTAAAAAGATGAGAGAGGCTTGTAATCTTCATCCTAGGTATACCTCAACTATGAGAGACAAAATGAGAAGAAAAAAAACTGAAAATCACATTGTCTGATTTTTAAAGAATTTATTTGCAAATTATGGTGGAAAATAAGTATTTGGTCACCTACAAACAAACAAGATTTCTGGCTCTCACAGACCTGTAACTTCTTCTTTAAGAGCCTCCTCTGTCCTCCACTTGTTAACTGTATTAATGGCACCTGTTTGAACTTGTTATCAGTATAAAAGACACCTGTCCACAACCTCCAACAGTCACACTCCAAACTCCACTNCTTAATGATCTCATACATGCAAGAGTAACATACACAGATTCAAACATCGGACCGCTAAGTGTAAAGAAGGTAAATATAGCTAATTCTAGCTAGCTGTGCAATAAGAATGTATACTTACAGGCTAGTATGGCTAACGCTAGCGTGTATGCTAACGCTAGCGCGAATGCTAACGCATTTTCTCATTGAGTTTAAACATGTGTCATCCAAATGTCATCACATAAACACAATACATGTTACTAATCTTTACAGTGTAAGGCTTACACTTACACTTACAGTCATTGTTTTCTGACGGACTTGACCCTTTTACTCTTCAGGCTGCATAGAAAAATTAGGAGCAGTGTACTGCCATGCTATTCAGTTCACTTTCTCCAACTTCCTGTAGCCTACCCGGTTTCCTGTCTTACCTTCAGTACACATTTTACAAAAATATAAATGTGCAAATATAAAACATACAGTTCAATATCACCTTGCTATTGGTAGCTGAACTGTCAATACCCCAAAACATATTCTTAGCTATCACTACCTACTTTTGAGTTATTTAGACACAATTAACACTTATAGTTTCATGTCTTGTTACATAAGAATAGATCATATTTGTTAAGTTTTATTATGGGAGAATTACTATTCTTGTGGTACTACTGCCTTATTAGGCCCATATTGAGCAGAGCATATTAAGACCCAAACTCATGTACAACAACTTCCTTACTTTCAACAAATAAGCACCAATTACAGGGTTATTGAGGAAAAACTCTCAACTAATGGCTTATTACTTGTAGGATATGGTCATGTAGAATAAGGCATTAATAAGTGTTTTATAATGACTAATAAAGAGCCTATATACTGCTAATATGCATGTTAATTAACAACTAGTTGATGGTTAATTTGTGTACCTTAATATAAAGTGTTACCCTTTCTTCTGTTACAAACCATAACGATCCCTGATATTTAAAAGATATCTTTGGGACCGAGAATCTATGTCACTGAACCATAAATGTGTTATTTTAAAAAAATGGCACAAACAGTTGTGGAACAAAAGTCAATACAGAATTGATAAAGAGTTTACATGCACTTAGTTTTTCCTTCAGAACATGTCTTTGTGTACCCTCATTTTTGAAAGGTGTTTGAATACTTGTACCTTGTCATTTTGTAACTGCTGGCTCTTTGGAAATTGTCCTCCACGGCTGAAGGCATGGCTATTTTCTTGTCTAACAAGTTCTCCTTTGATTTTCTTTTTAGCCAAGTTTAGCCCCAGTGATTTTCATTGTCACTGGGTTAGTTGATCAATAACAACTACTTATTTTGTAGAGTAATTGTTGGTCCTCAGAGGAAAAAACAAATTATTTTTGTTTTGACTTTCATAGTGGAATCGTTTTTGGTTTTGATTGAAAAAGTTCCTCATTGACTCTTTTGACATTTGATACAGAACTTCATGATCCCCTCTTTATGAATCATAATCACGTTGATCGTGCTCTGACATTGGCTGGCCTGGTGCAGTATTAATAAAGTTATTTTCATATATTATACGTGTATTGTAGTGCTCCTTGTTAAGATATGACAACACATCTGCCTTAATAGTCATCTGCACTTCCACCAACCCCTGAAAGTTTGGTCTGTATCTAGGTCAGATGCTGCTATTAGCTTCACTGATTGTAACAGTTACATTATAACAATCAACAACATATACCAACTTCAGCAAGAGACTAAAAAAACAGTTAAGCAAGTCATGTATGTAGCCTCATATTAATAATTAAGTGTACCAGATGCAATTGTGAGGAATATTGTGGAGTTGTTCAAATCCAATGGCTTCATCCTCTTGGCCATTACTGTGCTCATATGATTGTATGGCAATATCACCCAGTCAGCTCTGAGATAAATGTAAGAGTCCTTCATTGAAAAAAGGCCAGGGTCTTTAAAAAGAAACTTCACATGGTGATTGGATGAACCATCTGTAAATCAAGCTCTTGCCCGAAGATAGTAGAGCCATGGGAAATAACATCTTGTCCTTTGAGAAAAGCGTTCAGTGCAGTTCTTTGCTCTTCCTTCAATTAAGTAAATAACTGATGCTATTTCAGCACCAACCACCTCTTTAGTATCTGTTCTGTGTACAAAAATGTGTAGCTGTCGGTTGCTTCTCACAGCATGCTGATTGGTCAGTGCATTAGTCTGGACACAAACTCATTGAAGCCTGACAAGATGGATTTTTCTTTGATCTCATGGCACTACAAGAATCCAGATGCCATAAAAGTCAGTTTATAGGCATGGAACCAGACTAGGATGGTGATGATGGGCAGAATCAAACCAAAACCATTAACAGTTGTTAGCCATTTAAAAAATACGAGTCACAACATGGTACCAGCTACATTTGAGATATATGTATCTATCTCTGGTATTTTCCTAATAGTGGGCATGCATAGACCAGATGTTGTAGCTGGTATTTATCAGGGTGGTGTCATGAAACAGAGAGTTCAAGTCTTAGCAGTGACTACTTGTTTTTTTTAACTGACTTGCCTACTACTCATCTCCAGGGGGAGATCTATTTTTGAAATACCCATCAAGCTCTAGAAACCTTTAAACCTTTAAATCTTTGTAAAGGGCAAAGAGGAAAAGTCACAGATCTCTTAGGGGCCGCCTCTCAACTCGGTCTGTCTGACCGGGTCGGAGCCGAGACTCCTGCCACCACCTCAATCACATGGAAAAAAATGAAAATGAAAATGTTGACTTTAATTAAATGTATTATGTCAACAGATTTCAAATAACTTTTGTGATTTATTACATTACTCACGCAAAAGGCAATACAGAGATTATTTGCATCTTTAGGCTTGTAGTAGCCAGGCTTGGGGAGTAACAGAATCAGGATACAAAAAAAACGGTAACTGCATAACCTTACATTTACATTAGGAAATTATGTAATCAGATTACATTAAAAAAAAATGGTGATAACAACAGTAGCAGGATAACAATGGTATAATACATTTAGGGTGCGTTCACACCTGCCTTGTATAGTCCGGTTGGATCGAACCCTGGTGCGTTTAGCCGCTTGGTGCGGTTCATTTGGGTCGGTGTGAACACAGTCCGAGACCTCTTAAGTGAACTAAACAACCGGACTCTGGTCCGCTAAAATAGGTGGTCTCGGAGCGCTTGCTTGCGAACTCTGGAGCCGTTCATTGCTGGTGTGAACGCAGTCCACACCAAAACATAGGAAGCGTAATATTTACGTGTCAAAGAACGCGGATATCTTAAAAATCTTTAGCGAAAGAGTCTTTCAAGACATCCGCGGTTGTTTAGTTAAAGAGTAAAGCAGAATTAAGTGTTGAACAGTGTCGTGTATAGTAAAAATTCTCCGTCAGCTACATAAAAGTAAGAACACCTGTCGTCGGTGAAACGCCCCTCCTTACTGCAGAACGTCTCTCATGAACAAGAAAATGCCGATCTAGATCCCTCCGCTTCGCGTTGGGCTCCTGATCAGCCTGTCGGTGTTATTTTCCCCATAATGACCGCGCCACTGCACATTATCCCGCTTATTACATGGCCACATTCTCAACAAAGTAACGACATGACTCCCAATATGAATTGAAATGCTTTTGTGGAATTAGAAAATGATTTTATTGAGTTTACAAAAAAATAGTTGGATGTATTTATTTAGTTTAAATTCAGACATGGCATCCGCATAAAGAAAAAATAGTCCGTTGTACTGTTTGAACTAAACGTAGGGGAGCAACGGGCAGGAGTCGCTTCAATACGCGTTTTTGCAGGAGGGCTTTTGATTAGCAGATTTGAAAATCCATCGTTGGGCTTGCTTAAAAGTAGGCAGGCATTCATTATGTCAAACCTTGGAAAGTATCTAGATACCCTGCCCTAATGGTGCGCCGGATGCTTCCATGGCGGAGGCTCCGGCTAGAAATCTGGGCCGTGGATTTGTGGTTTTTACCCTCCCTAAATGTCTGACGCAATGGTTGAAAAACAGCATTTCTGAGCAGACTTGTGTTTAAAGTTTATAGTCCGTTTGAGTTTTGCCCCCGTGTGAACCGCAAACGACACCCCCTTTTGAAAAATGAAAAAACTGTGCACAAGAACTGTCGGTGCGGTGCGCACCCAGAGAGGCGGAACTATTAGGTGTGAATGGCACCCTAAATCGCTGGCTTTCCCAAGAACAATAACAGCAGGACGGGATAAACAGAGTTATTTTAACCCGATACACAGGGGCCTGAAGTTGGTTACGCGCACCAACTTTGCAGAGCCGCTGAACAACAGCCACCAGCAGAATCCATTTCAGTGGGTAATGTGTGTTCATCATAGAGATCGCCTCTACCCAGGTAAAGGCAGAAAATACTTTGAATTCTCTGGATGACTTAGAATCTCCTGATGAATCACAGCAGAAAAACATAATGCTAGGTCTCTGCTAACCAAAGCTAGACAGAAATGTTTGTTTTTTTCTGCTGGCCTGTCATGGCCCTTATCTCACAGGAACAATTATTGTATTCGTGTTCAATTAGGTGTGCTTTTGATTATACAATGATAAGGCATTCAACTAAAACGATGCGCGTGGCACCTTGTTACAGTATTTCTGTACGTGGTTGAATTGGGCCCGGTACGCACACCGGTTACGCAGTTACGGGGCACTTCTGATTTTTAACCATCCGTGGTACCCGGCACTGTCTACTGAGTACCCGGCAGGTGCCCAGGTACTCAGTAAAATGCCGGCTACTCAGGACGCCGGCAATATACGTATAACTATTCGTAAGACGCAACGCAGCGCAAATGTGGGCTCTGACCTGCCTCCACAGAGGGTGACGGCTTGTCTAGCATGACGTGGCCTGCCGAGCTTGCCACTTTCATACAGATGCATACTAATGCCCTCCCATTTGGTGCTCTGTGTGTCGCATTCAGGCTCGGGCGGGTGTGGTGTTGGTGTACGTGTGGCGCGAGCGAGCGAGAAAGCGGCGCGCACCGGTTACGTGTATTGTTGTTAGCATCTGGTGCAGCTTGGGCTGCGCCTAACCGGAAT